ATATATATATATATATATATATATATATATATATATATAATATTTATTTATTTATCTATCTATCTATCTATCTATCTATCTATCTATCTATCTATCTATCTATCTATCTATCTATCTATCTATCTATCTATCTATCTATCTATCTATTTTCTGCTTCAAAATATCAGTTTAAAGGGATAGTTCAACCCAAAATTTTAATTATGAAACAACTGCTCATTGGTGCTCATTACACATCATGCATGTGTGGTTTGGTGTGCATTTATTGCACAAGTGAACAAATGCAAGTTTAATTCACTAAATCAGTGTTTCTCAACTGGTGGGTTGAAAGTGGGTCGCGGGAACATTTTCAGTGGGTCGTGGAGTGTGTGGTCAAAAAAACAACAAAAGTTTCATTTTTAACTTATTTTGCTCAAATCGGACTTTTATTTTGAAATGCATGCTCGAAATTTTCATATTTCAAATTTGTAATAGCCTTTAAAAAATGTATTTACCTGCACATATAAACATTCAAGCAGAAATCCACTCTAACGCAAGAAGTGGGACATTTACTGCAACGATGAGCAAATAACAACGGCATTGCTCCATGCAAACTGCTTATTTTAGTTTTGTTTAGTTTGGCTTTTCTTTAACAGAAGAGGTTTAAAAAGAAAGTTCAAAGAAAGCCTGAAATCATTCACCTAATAAGCATAACTGCTAATGCTAACGGTGCCTCTGTGGCAGTATGCAGGGAAGGAGACTACACGCTGCTGTTTGATTGGCTAAGGCCTGCTTCACATGACCAGGCTACAGGTTTTCCAAGTAATGCAGACATTTTCCTTTACCACATTGTAAGAAAATCTCTTGACAAATCTCTTGAAATGTCACAAGCGCTGCTCATTTGTGCTAATTAGACGACAATGCATGTGTGGTTTGGTGTGCATTTGATGCAAATGCAAGTCTAATCGGCCAGATAATTCAGACTGGTTGCTTTGCTATAATATCTGCTTTTAAAGCAGGCTTCTAAACATAGAAATCACCAAACTATATGCTAGATAAGTTGGCGGTTCATTCTGCTGTGGCGACCCCGGATTAATAAAGGGACTAAGCCGACAAGAGAATGTAATGTATGATTTGTTCTTAAAGAGACAGCTCAATCAAAATATATAGTCTGATATTTCTCACTCTTATGTAGGACATTTGTTGATAATCAAATAAAATGCTTTTATTATATATATATATATAACATTTTTATTTATTTATTAGTCAAGGTATGTAGATTTTTACAAAAATAAATATTCAGATATGAAGTTTACTGCATGAAGTAAGACCGTTTCTGCATGCACAAGTGAGTAAAATGTGTTGTCATGATAGCTGGTTATTTTGCAATCAGGTTTTGTTTTTGTCTGTTCCAGTTTCACACCGTCAAAATGAAAATTATTCATTCATTCATTTTTCTTCGGCTTATACCTTTATTCATCTGGTGTCTATTCCAGCATATGGTTTACACAGTGGATGCCCTTCCAGCAGCAACCTAGTACTGGGAAACACTCATACACACTCATTCCCATACAAACTCATACATTACGGCCAGTTTAGTTGATCAGTTCCCCCATAGCGCATGTGTTTGGACTGTGGGGGAAACCGGAGCACCCGGAGGAAACCCACGCCAACATGGGGAGAACATGCAAACTCCACACAGAAACACCAACTGACCCAGCCGGGACTTAAACCAGTGACCTTCTTGTTGTGAGGACACAACGCTACCCACTGCTCCACCACCCACCCAGCTGACTGTGCATAGTGGAATAATCAGAGAGGGCTAAGTAAAACACTTTAAGTTGCCTTACAATGTTAAGTTGCATCAACTCAAAAAGTTATTTTTATTTTTTATTTTAAGTTGAGTCGACTAAAAAACACCTTACATAGATGTAAGCACAGGTAAAACTACCTGCAAGGCATTTCAGCCTCACGTTCCTCCACCAGCGCCATTTAGGCTGGCTGCATGGTCATCAATCAGAAGCCACCCATCGTTGATGTTTCACCCTATTAATCCCAGAACATCTCCAGGTGGTGGAGCAACAGTTGGGACGTCTCCAATTTTAAGTTGTGTCAACTCTAAGTTGCCTTGCAATTTTGAGTTGAATCAACTGAAAAGGCTCTAAGTGCATTCATTCATTTTCTTTTCTGCTTAGTCCCTTTATTAACCAGGGGTCGCCACAGTGGAATGAACCACCAACTATTCCAGCATATGTTTTACACAGCAGATGCCCTTCCAGCTGCAACCCCGCACTGGGAAACACCCATGCACGTGCCAATTTAGTTCATTAATTCCCTTAAAGTGCATGTGGTTGGACTGTGGGGGAAACTGTCGCCACAGTGAAATGAACCGCCAACTTATCCAGCATATGTTTTACACAGCAGATGCCCTTCCAGCTGCAACCCCGTACTGGGAAACACCCATGCACGTGCCAATTTAGTTAATCAATTCCCCTGAAGCGCATGTGTTTGGACTGTGGGGGAAACTGTCGCCACAGTGGAATGAACCGCCAACTTCTCCAGCATATGTTTTACACAGCGGATGCCCTACCAGCTGCAACCCATTGGACTCCACACAGAAACGCCAACTGACCCAGCCGGGACTCGAACCAGCGACTCAGCAACCTTCTTGCTGTGAGGCGACAGTGCTAACCACTAAACCACTGTGCCAAAATTATTTAATACTTAATTTATCACATAACTTGTTCTTTCCAATAAAAATAGACACAAGTATAAATCGATTTTGCATTATATAAGTGCTGAACTTGCATGCCTGGTGTTAGTATAATAATAATATCAAGTATTACAGCACGTATAATCACAACATACAATGAACTGAAGTAATAAATAAGTAAAAAATAAATAAATAAATAAATAATTAAATAAATAAATAAATAAATAAATAAATAAATAAATAAGTAAATAAATAAGCAAATAACACATTATTGGTAGAGCGAGCACATATAAGATAACCCAAATCATTATCAATAACAAGTTTGCACTGCCCTTGCATGATTCCTCAGTTATGTTTTGCAATTAACGATCCAAAAGAAATCAATTGCAGATAATTGGGACGTGGAAAAATCTAAACTGGGCCACAAAGATCAGCTAAGAGCCTGCGCGCGCGCAGAGGAGCGATCATTACAATTGACGGACATCATAATTTCGCATAATACGACCAGATGAAAAGTGCACATCGACCAGGTTTGATTCAGTGCTCCAGTAATGGGATGCATCCCGGAAAAACTCTTTAGGACTCCGCGCTGCTGCGGCTGCGCCACTCGCTTTGTGTCCATCATAATCACTCAATTACCAAAAGCTTCAAAGTCAAATTTGACATCAAGCGCAAAAGTGCGAGAGCTCCCCCACCAGTTAAGCGTCAGAAACACATGCACACAAGTTCACCTCCGGCTTGGAGGCTCTCTGTGCCCTCCTCAACACGCCGTTCGTGCCACATTTGCCCTTTTTTCAACCAGCTTTTCCGCGTATACGAGCTTTACGCGTACATTTACGCAAATGCGCATTACATTATTGGGATCCTGCAGGCCAGAATGAACACTGTCATGCATCCCACTGCAGTATGTGTGTATATGCATGCGTGTGTATGTTTATTGACTTTGCAGATGCAGCAGAAAAAATATAAAGGATACATATAAATAAATAAATAAGCAGTGCATCTTCTAGCAGATGCTGAATGGATGCATTGCATCACAATGATTCACATATAGTGATGAGACTTGAGCTCTAATGGGGTATTGACTCAGCAGAGATGCACACACACACACACACACAGCACACCAAAATCCCGATCCACCCGCGTGCAAACTTGGCTTTGTGCACGCAACAATGAGCATTGCGTGGACTGAAAACAGATCTGATCACGCGCGCGCGCACACACATACGCACGCGCACAGTAATGTTATGCATCTGCAGTTCGCATCCTTTTAAAATCCATCCAGCATTGAGGGGTGCTCTTGCATGCGCAGATCCAGTAAAGCTGCTTCCACACTCACCTGAATCTGCTTCTCCCGCGTGTCGGGAATCTGCGGCTCCGAGCGGCTCTAAAGTTCTCCGGCTCCCGGGCTCATGCTGCTGTTTTGGGCTCTGGCTGTGGTTTTCGGACGGGTCTTCGGTCCCTCTCATACTCAAGAGGCAGAAATCCTGCGGTTCTGTTCGCCGAGCAGCATCTGAGAAACAATACAAGCCCCGATGGTCAAAAGCGGCGCAGAAATATCCGACAGCAGGTATAGAGAGAGAGAGAGAGGAGATGGAGAGATGAGTCCGAGCTCTGCTGAGAAACGAGGAGGAGGAGAGAAAGAGAGAGAGTCACTTTACTGGATTGTAGAGGAGGGAGATGGCAGACAGAAAGGGGAGGGACTGAAGGAGGAGAGAGAGAGAGAGAGAGAGAGAGAGAGAGAGAGAGAGAGAGAGAGAGGGCATTTATTATCGATTTTTTAACGCATGCATTATGTAATCACTACCTTTTATTAATTATGTAATTATGTATTTTTTATGGCAGATTATTTTAATGTGTGTATGTATTATATAATCATAGCCTATATACTATTTTAATTAGTGTTAATGTAATGTGCAATGCTTAGGCAAGTCCTGCAGCGCTCTTTTGAACTAAACTAAACTGAATTGAGTTGAATTGGGACAGAGAGACGGGATTTTGATAATTATTTTTAATGCATGTAGAATGTAATGTATAATGCAATCACTATACATAATATATATATATGATCACTTGTTCATTATTTTAATTATTTTATTTAATGATTTTTTCTAATTGTTCGGTTTAGTCCCTTTATTAAATTAGAGGTTGCCACAGTGGAATGAACCGCCAACTATTCCAGCATATTTTTACACAGCAGATGCCCTTCCAGTTGCAACCCAGCACTGGGAAACACCTATACACAGTCCTTCTCACACACACTCACTGACATACACTACAGCCAATGTAGTTAGACTGAGCGCTGTCCGTAGTGCTGAAAACGTTCAGGACTGTAAAACATGCAGCATCTCATTCACGCATTTTACTTTCGGCTTAGCCCCTTTATTAATCAGGGGTCGCCACAGTGGAATGGACCGCCAACTTGTCCAGGTATCATGTCCAGGCATCTGCTGCATAAAACATATGCTCGAACAGTTGGTGGCTCATTCCACTGTGGTGACCCCTGATTAAGCCGAAAATAAAATGAATGAATGAATGTATTAATGTATAATGTAATCACTATAGTTCATTATTTTAATTACTTGATTATAATTGTTCGGCTTAGTCCCTTTATTAATCATTGGTCGCCACAGTGGAATGAACCGCCGACTATTCCAGCATATGTTTTAAACAGTGGATGCCCTTCCAGCTGCAACCCAGAACTGGGACACACTTATACACAGTCATTCTCACACACACACACACACACACACACACACACACACACACACACACACACTACAGCCAAGTTAGAATGAGCGCTGTCAGTGGTGCTGAAAACCTTCAGGACTGTAAAACACATGCAGCACCTCATTCATTCATTCATTCATTTTCTTTTCGGCTTACTCCCTTTATTAATCAGAGGTCACCACAGTGGAATGAACCGCTCACTATTGCAGCATATGTTTTACACAGCAGATGCCCTACCAGTTGCAACCCAGCACTTGGAAACACCCATACAAAGTCATCCTCACACACACAGACAGACATACACCACTGCCAAGTTAGTTAGAATGAGCGCTGTCCGTGGTGCTGAAATCTTTCAGGAGTGTAAAATATATGCAGAATATCATTAATGCATACATTAATTTTCTTTTCAGCTTAGTCCCTTTATTAATCAGAGGTCGCCACAGTGGAATGAACCGCAAACTATTCAAGCATATGTTTTACACAGCAGATGTCCTTCCAGCTGCAACCCCGTACTGGGAAACACCCATACACATGCCAATTTAGTTGATCAATTCCTCTATAGTGCATGTGTTTGGACTGTCGGGGAAACTGGAGCACCCGGAGGAAACCCACGCCAACACGGAGAGAACATGCAAACTCCACACAAACTGACCCAGCCGGGACTTGAACCAGCAACCTTCTTGCTGTGAGGCCACAGTGCTAGCCACTGAGCCATCATGCACTTGACAAGTCATGCCAATAATGCTCTTTTGAACTGAGCTAAACTGAGTTGAGTTGAACTGAATTGGCAGAGAGAGATTGTTCATTTGCATTGATGCAATTCTCACCTGATCACAATAATGTGAAACAGAAAGGACTCGTTTAATAAAATAAATAAAAAATTAAACCAGAAATCCTTGTAAAAATGTGCCGGTTGCATTAGAAATCCATCTGTAAAACAGTGTCATAAAAGTGTGAATAATTTGTGTCATACTAATGGAGGTGTGTGTGTGTGTGTCAGACTGAGCGCTGTCCGTGGTGCTGAAAGCCTTCAGGACTGTAGAACGCATGCAGCACCTCATTCATTCGTTTTCTTTTCGACTTAGTCCCTTTATTAATCAGGGGTCACCACAGTGGAATGAACCGCTAACTTATCCAGCATGTTTTCCATAGCGGGTGCCCTTCCAGCTGCAACCCAGTACTGGGAAACACCCATACACACTCACATTCACACACACTCGTACACTACGGTCAATTTAGTTAATCAATTCTCCTTTAGTGCATGTGTTTGCACTATGGGGTGAACCAGTGACCTACCTGTGAGGCAACAGTGCTAACCACTGAGCTACCATGTCGCCCTGATTCAATGTTTGTTTATTTATTAAAAAATAAAATAAAAAATCCTTGTAAAATTTGCCAGTTGCATTAAAAATCCATCTCTAAAAATGTATCATAAAAGTGTGAATAATTTGTGTCATACTAATGGAGGAGTGTGTGTGTGTGTGTGTGTGTGTGTGTGTGTGCGCGCGTGTGTGTGTGTGTGTGTGTGTGTGTGTGTGTGTGTGTGTGTGTCTGTTCGTGGTTCTGAAAATCTTAAGGACTGTAAAACACATGCGGCATCTCTTTATAGTGAATCAAAAGACAGAACCAACATTAAATTAAATGTCATCAACTGTAATTTTTTTAATTATTATTTTTTAAATATAGGCATACAAATCTAAAAAAAATGTCAAATTGTTATGCAACTTAGAGCTTTTTAGTTGATGCAACTTAAATTGCATGGCAATTACAGCCTTTTTAGTCAACTCAACTTAAATTGTAGAGCAACTTAGAGCTTGAGTTGATTTAACTTAAAATTGAAAGACAACTTAGCACTTTTGAGTTGATGCAATTTAAAATTGTAAGGCAACTTCAAGAAGTTTAAATTGACGCAACTTAAAATTGTATGAAAAAAATTTAAACTTATTGAGTTGACGCAACTTAAAATATTAAGGCAAATTAGAGCTTTTTGAGTTGATGCAACTTAAAATTGTAAGACAACTTAGCATTAAGTTGATGCAACTTAAAATTATGTTACACTTTAGAGCTTCTTAGTTGGCTCAACTTAAAATTGTAATGCAACTTAGAGCCTTTTGAGTTGACTTAAAATTTTAAAGCAAATTATAGCTTCTTGAGTGGATTCAACTTAAAATTGTAAGAAAACTCAGAGCCATTTTAGTTGACTCAAATCGGGTCAGGTGCAGTACTTGGGTTAAATGTTTAGTCAACCCAAACAAGCTGTGCAGCTACTTGAATTAAACTGTTAAGTTGAGGATTTTTTTTTCAGTGTATTTAAAGTGTATTTTTTTCTGATGCATTTACAACATGCATCTTATTTTAAAGTATTTATCAGCAAATAAATAAATAAACAGACAAAAAAAAAACATTAAATTCCATATTTCTTTATTTTTCTTTCTTTCATTTTCTTTTGGGTTTAGTTAAAGTACCCACTCATATATGGATGATTCTTAAAGTGTGGACACGTCTACAATAGTGCTTCCAAGATAAACCCAAAATCCTCCCAAAAAACAATAATAACATTAATATAACTCTGATAAATAATGTTTGTCTGTGTTTAGGGAGATTTTGTCTGCAAACTATGTCCTTAAAGACACTACACCTATTTTTGACCATAAATAAAAAGCAAATACATCACAGTCAGTCTACGGCCATCAACTACAACATGCCACAGATGTTTGGCGTCAATCTTATTATTTATCTAACAGTATCATCCAACATCCCATATGGACCGTGAGTCAGTCTGATTAAATTAAAACCTCGAATTACAAATTAAATTAAACAAATAAAAACTCTGCAATAATCAATTACAGGCTAAATGAAGCTTCAGTCTGAGGACCTGTAAGCATTTTACCTCCAAGAAGCGTTTGAAGAGGTGAAAGAGGGAAAATGAGTAATCCTTCTCCTCTCCTGAATGCAGTAATCAGTGTTTCAGATGAAATGAGATTTGGGGATTGGTGAAGATTCAGTGCTGATCTGAGCTGGAAGTGATTATCGCCTGAAGAACAATGGAAATAGACTGAGATCGTCACTGGATTGAACTCAATTGAGCATGAACTGAACTGATGACTCAAGAGCTGCTTTCAGATATGAGGACATTATATTAAGAAAAAGGAAGAGGCGAGCTCAGAGTTACTGCCATACCACTATAGAGCAGCTTGTTTTATTAGCATTATTATTATTATAAGTATAAATTCATGTTTATTTTAAATTTCTTCTTTTCTTCCTTTTTTAATTTTCTTTCAGTTTTTTCTTTCTGTTTGCTGAATTTATTTCATTCATTTTTTCTTTCTTTCTGGCTTATTTTTTTCTTTTGGTCTTCCTTTATTTCTGTCTTTTCTCTTTTTTAATTTTACCTTTTTTTCTTTCTTTCTTTTTTCCTTTTGCTCCTTCATTTTTTATTTCGTTCTTTCTTTCTGTCTTCTATCCTTGTTTCATTTTAAGATTGTAAGGCAACTTAGAGCCTTTTCAGTTGATGCAACTTAAAATTGTAAGGGAACTAGAAAATGTTAGACAACTTCGGCTTTTTGAGCTGACTCAACTTAAAATTGTAAACTTTGTTTTATTTTTTTCCTTCTTTCATTTTTTCTTCCTTTCTTTTTACCTTCTTTCTTTGTTTTTCGCCTTATTTCTTTCTTCTTTTCTTACCTTTTTGTATATTTTTAAATTCTGCCTTCTTTCTTTTCTTTTTTTTCTTTGTGTCTGCATTATTTCTTTCCTTCATTTCTGTCTTTTCTTACTTTCTTTTTTCTTATATTATTGTTTTCCTTTTTCTGCCTTATTTCTCTTTCCTTT